TCAGTTGAGTCTGTTATATTATCCCGTTTCATTTCTTATTTGGGTTATTTGAGTCTGTTATATTGTCCCCTATCTCATTTCTTATTTGTGTTATTTACTTCCTTCCCTGTTTTTCTTTTGTCAGTTTGGCCAGTGGTTTGTCAGTTTTGTTGATCTTTTCAAGGAACCAACTTTTGGTCTTATTGATTCTTTCTATTGTTTTTCTGTTCTCTATTTCATTTATTTCTACTCTAATCTTTATTATTTCCTTTCTTCTTGTGACTGTGGGCTTCTTTTGCTGTTCTGTTTCTGTTTGTTCGGGTTGTAGGGCTAGCATTTTGATTTTGGCCTGGTCGTCTTTTTTGATTTGTGCGTTTATTGCTAGAAATTGACCTCTGTGCACTGCCTTCGCTGTGTACCAAAGGTTTTGGTATGATGTGTTTTCATTCTCATTTGATTCTAGGAATTTTTTTATTCCCTTTTTGATTTCTTTTGTTACCCATTGTACTTATACATAAAGTTGGCTTGAGTCAGAGGCAACTTGATGGTAACTAACAACGGCATACTTTAGGTATGTCTCATGTAATGGCATGTAGTTAACTTTAGTTTCTTTTATCAAATCTGATCATCTCTGTCTTTTTACTGGTGAGTTTAGTTTGTTTTCTTGATTGTGATTATTGAAATATTTGGATATGTTTCTATAGCTTTCAATTTGTCATTGTTTTTTCTTCTTTTTGTCTTTTAAGAAATAATCTCCCTAGCAAGACAAGAACTTTAGCATACTCTTATGCCCTTCGATTCTCCAACCCTCCCCTCACGCTTATTGTTGATATTTTCTAAGATTTTACTTCTAGGTTATTATGTCTGTCCCTCTGTGTCTCTTGTAAGCACACTCCCTGCCTTTTAAGACAACAGCAAACTTCACCAAGATGTTTGATTACCCTTAATTCCCATAACTTTTGCATCAATTCCTGAATTTGTTTCTCTTCTTATTTGTGTATTTCCACTAAAAGTTTTTCAGTGTAGGCCTTTTTATGGCAAGTCTGAGTAAACATGGGATGCCTGAGAGTAGTTTTTATAATGTTTTATATTTTTATAATGTTTTGCTACAATAGTGATTTTATAATGTTATTTAAATGCATATAAAATTTTAGGTTCAGGATTCCTTGTTTCAATATGTTAAGAATGTTGCCCCACTGTCATCTTACAACCAGTATTGCTATTGAGAAAAGTCTGATGTCATTGTGGTTCTTGCTCCTTTGTACACAAATTTGAGCTAATCAAGGAAAAAGATGTGACCTTGAGATAGCTATTTATTGGGGCTGATGCAGTGACAGCCACTTGTAGGTTCCCCTCCCCCTCAGCAGGGGCTTTGCCAGAGGCACCAGAAGGGGAAGAGGTCATGAAAAACCCTCAGGGAGGAGGAGAAAGGAGGGAGCAAGCTTACAGGTTCCTAGTTGATATCCTGCAGCAAGGTGGAGAGTCTCTGGATCAGAGAACTCCAGAGGCAACAGCACCTTAGTATCCTTATAACTACAGAATTTTACATTATCCATGGCTACCAGATGTTTGGTACAATTTCTTGGAGTATGTAAAACAAGCAGGCTCTAATTGGCTAAAAATATATTTATTTGGGCCATTTTTTAAATAATTGGGTGTGTACAAATTTGAGTTTGGTGCCAGCAGGCTGTTTTGGGCTAATGGGCCTCAGCTTGCATGAAGAAATAAATAACTTGGGGTCACCTTTGACTCATTAATATAATAATGATATACTCTTTTTCTCTGGAAACTTCAAGTGTTCTCTTTATATCCGATTTTCTTAAATTTTGCTGTAGTATATTTAGAATAGACTTTTCCTCATCTGTCCTATTGACATTCAGTGAAGTTGCTCTTAAGCCATTTATCTTAAATTTGGGGAAAATTTTCTCTATTATTTCTTTTAATATTTCCTTCCCTCCATTTCGGTTTTTTTCCCTCCCTGGGACCACTGTTATCTGGATGTTACCACTTCTACTCGTAGCCTCCATGTTTCCTAATTTTATATTTTTATTTTTTATCCTCATCCTCTTCCTCCTGGGTGTGCTCCTGAATCTGATGTTCCTACTCGCCAATTTCTCCTTCTTTGTCCATCTTGCCATTTATTTTATTTCTTGTGTTCTTTATTTCACAGTGATGTTTTCCCCTAATATTTTCCATTGTCCTTTTACAATTAAAAAAAAAAATTTGTCTCATATTGTTTTCTGTTAACTGCATTTATTATGTTTATCTTACATTCTTAGTCTGTCTGTTTTAATACTTTTTCTTCCATTGGTATATATTTTACAGGTTTTTGTTTGTTTGTTTGTTTGTTTTACTTCTTGGGGGCATCAGCTATTCTGTCTAGCATTGCTTACTAGGAAAAGGTTTAAGGTCAGATCCTAGTCTTTGATAGGCCCATGGAGCCCAAGGACAGGAAAGCCTCAGGCCCCAGAATATCACAGTTACTCACTCATGTCTGTTATCTGCCCAGCAAACAACCAGCATTGCCATGTGAGACCACACAGGTTGTGTATTGCAAAACTCCAGGAGATATTACTCACTTAGATTATGATGAGAGTGGCTCCCCCTAGAGTTGTGTAACTTGGAAATCCTGCAGGTCTTCACCTTCAAACCCTCAGGGAGAAGCAGAGTTGGAAGGCTATAGTTACCCTTGATTTTAATCCACCAGTCTTGGGGCATTGGAGAGGGAGGAAGAAGGAGAGAATACCTGAGGCTGGTCAGTCCTTATCTGCTGTCTTCACTTCGTCTTCCAGTAGAACTTCGGCAGCTTCCATGATTTTACCTCCAGTGGATTCCTAAACGAGTTCTCTGGGCCAAGTTCTCTGGGCTGTTGCCACCAATTTCTTCAGTAAAGGCACAAACAATGATTGTTCTGAGGCATTAGTGGATGTGGGCAAGAACAGAGCTTAAACTACCTTGCTTTCCTTCATCTGCTCACATTCTCTGCCAGTGGCCTTCAGCCCCAGACTACTGTCACCTCCCTCATACCAGTTTAAAACAACCATCCGTCTTCCTATGAGTTCCTCAAGATTTTTTTTCAAGTTCTTGGATTCTGCATTTCCCTCTGTAGTTTCTCCAGGGCTGATTTGGCAGAGGCAGCCAGCAACCACTACTAATTTTCCATGTTGACAGAACCACAGTGAAGCTCTTTCCTTTCTTTTAAAAATAACAACTTTTTATTTTTAAACTTTGATTTTCTTATTACAAAAGTAAAAAAGAAAGTTTATTTCAGATAAGCAAAAAGAACATTGGTACCGCCTATTTGTTACCATTGTCAACATTTTGGTTTGTCTCTGCATCTAGTTTTTACCATTTTACGACCTGCTCTCTCTACTTCATATAGCCTGTGCCTTTCTCTGCACCCTAATATATTGTTTTACAGAGTCATTTTTGCCTGCATAATAATTGCATCATCCAGAGAAAACATAATTTAACCAGTTTTCTACTGTTGGCTATTTGAATTATTCCCCACTTCCCTTTATTATGGATTGTTCTATGAGAAACATCCTTATAGATAAATATTGTTCACATCTGTGATTACTTCCCTGGATTAATTTCTTAGAAGTGAAAGCCTTTTCAGGACAAAGGCTTTATAAAGTTCCAAGCCCTTATATACATAATTTCCCTCCAGAAAGGTTGTGTAATTTTAGTCTTACAACATGAACGTGTACATTTCTACACACCCCTACACACCCTACCTAAACTGGATATTAATTTTGTAATCTGATGCTTTTTCCTCAATTCAGCTTTGTTTGGGCACTTCCCCCCTTGTTTCTGCTCTCATGCAGAGCTGAGCCAATTCTTCACAAAGAGACATTTAAGTAGTTTGTCAGAAGTGCCATGTTGGGGGCTAACTAGTTGCCGTTAAATTGATTCCAACTCATGGTGACCCCATGTATGTCAGAGAAGAAGGGTGTTCGATATGTTTTTTTTTTTTTTTATTATTGTTGTACTTTAAGGAAGTTTACAATTCAAGTTGGTCTCTCCTACAAAAATTTATACACACATTGCTATGTGACCCTAGTTGTTGCTCTCCCTATACTGTGACAGCACACTCCTCCTTTCCACCCCAGGTTTCCCGTGTCCATTCAACCAACTCCTGACCCTCTCTGCCTTCTCTTCTCGACTTTGGACAGGAGCTGCCCATTTAGTCTCATGTATGTACTTGAGCTAAGAAGCACACTCTTCATGAGTATCATTTTATGTTCCATAGTCCAGTCTAATCTTTGTCTGAAGAGTTGGCCTTGGGAATGGTTTTACTTTTGGGCTAACAGAGAGTCCGGGGCCATGTCTTCCAGAGTCCCTCCAGTCTTAGTCAGACAATTAAGTCTGGTCTTTTTACTAGAATTTGAATTCTGCACCCCACTTTTCTCCTGCTCCATTAGGGACTCTGTTGTGTTCCCTGTCAGGGCGGTCATTGGTGGTAGCCAGGCACCATCTAGTTCTTCTGGTCTCAGGCTGATGAAGTCTCTGGTTTATGTGGCCCTTTCTGACTCTTCTATAGAGTTTTTAATGGCTGATTTTTTGGAATTAGATTGCCAAATCTTTCTTCTGAGGAGCCTCTGGGTGGATTTGAACCTCTAACCTTTCAGTTAGTAGCTGAGTGTGTTTACTGTTTGCACCACCCAGGGTCTATTACTGTTCTTCTTGCTAGCTATGTAACTTTGAGCAGTTTTCTTAATCTCTCTGAGTCACCCTTTCCTTACTTATTAAATCAGGATAATTATTTTTGTAAGACTTCAGTGAGCTAACGTATGCAAAGCCCTCAGCTGATCATTTAACACAGAACACTCAGGGTTTAATGTTTTCATTATTTTTGCCATTGTTGTTATGTTTCTTATTAAGACAAGCCTGGTTAATAGAAGTCTGCAGAGAGCTTCTTGGCCACTCATCCTGTTTGGACTAAGAGTTTCACCTTCCAGCCCTCCTCCCAGCCTCACCAAGAACAAGCAGTCTAACACCTCCTCCTCTTCTCCTTACAGCCAAGCTCCACCAACTGGAAGGGCTGAGGACCATCGGCATCACCACCAATGGTATCAGCCTCGCCCGGCTGCTGCCCCAGCTTCAGAAGGCTGGTCTCAATGCCATCAACATCAGTCTGGACACCCTGGTGCCAGCCAAGTTTGAGTTTATCGTCCGCAGGAGAGGTGATCAGATGTGGCTGGTGGTGGAGGGAGCATATGAGAGGTGCCAGGCCAGGGGCCTGGTCTCTCCCTCTTGGTCTCCGGGTTGTAGATGAAGCCTAGGCATTTGTTCTTCACCCTTCACCCCTGCTAAAGGTCCCTCATCTCTGTAGCCACACCCTTGGAGGCTTTTTGGGATTAGATGCTAATAATCTAGGTGGACCAACTTCCGTTTTTGTGTAGGCTGTGAGCCGAGAATGGATTTTACAAATGAATATTTACAACCAATTTGATGACAGGGAACATTAACTTTGAACTCTAGTTAAGTAGAATTTATTCTCCTCCCCCAAATTTTATTTTCTCTTTTATAGACCCGTATTACAGAAAATGTACTTAATTATTGTATTTTGAATTTTGTCAATAAGAACTTTATGCATATACCTACATATATTTTTCCTCTTGGCCTAAAATATTTACTCTCTGGCGTTTTACAGAAAACGTTTGCCGACTCCCAGGCTAAGTGGTCTCTAAGGCCCCTCATAGCTTTGGGTGCTTCCCTGTAGTGGGGGAGTGGAGGGGGGAGGAGTAGGAGGAGGTTCATGGACCTTCCTTCTCTCTTCCCCACTGCAGGCTTCCACAAGGTCATGGAGGGCATCCATAAGGCCATTGAGCTGGGCTACAACCCTGTGAAGGTGAGTACATGCCACTGCTGCTCACTCTGACTTTCTGCCACCCCACCCCAAGTTTGCCCTTCCACCCCCAGCTTTTGGCCTCTTTGACAGCTCCCAAACCTGGCCAGGCAGCACAACTGTACCTCCACTACTACCACTTCCTTGCCAGTCACATCTAGTCCTGGCCCCCCACGAGGGAGGGGAGAAAAATCAGTAACCCCATGGAATTCCCCAGCTAAAGAAGAGGTAGGGGGAGACAAGGAATGGGCCCCCCACTGGAGCACCTAGGCATGTGCCAGACCCCCACGGGTCATTCACATAGAAGAATGGAAGTGGGCCAGCCCTCACGGTCCCGTTGTCCCCTGGCCAGGTGAACTGTGTGGTGATGCGAGGCCTAAACGAGGATGAACTCCTGGACTTTGTGGCCTTGACTGAGGGGCTCCCCCTGGATGTACGCTTCATAGAGTACATGCCCTTTGATGGTCAGTGACATGGGGGTGGGGCAGGCTGGGTCTGTCAGCAGAGCTTGATCAGGGCCATGCTGAGGGTATGGCAAGGTGACTGCTACATGGCACTGGTGCATGCTGAGGGTGGTAGGAAGGGCTGAACGTGGGTGCTGCTGACCCAGGAGCTTTGCTGTGTGCGTAGGAATTGCTCTAGGGATGGTGGGAGGGGACTGGGAAGACCCCTGTGCTGTGAATGGGGCATGGGAGGCTCCTCAGAGTCACTGTGGGTGTGATTTGATGTACCCGTTTTAGTCAGGGGCCTCCTGACCTCCCACGGGAGAGGCTGGAGAACTGATTCCTATGCTGTGTGAGAGGATGGACTTGAAGACTCTGAGGCCCCTTACACTCTGATTCAGTTGTTCCTCCTGCCTCCCCCAACCCAAATACAGGCAACAAGTGGAACTTCAAGAAGATGGTCAGCTACAAGGAGATGTTGGACACGGTGCGGCAGCGGTGGCCTGAGCTGGAGAAGCTGCCGGAGGAGGAATCCAGCACAGCCAAGGTTGGGGAACAGGAAGAGGAAGGGTAGACAGGAAGGGTATGCCTCTACCCTAGGGGAGGGCCGAATTGAGTCAGAACACAGTGGTGTGGGACGATACAGCTTAAGCAGGAGGCAGTATAGTGCCATCCCAACAACCTCCCTGTTTGATTGATAAAGAAGCAGACTTGGCAGGGTTAAACAACTTATCATAGGACAAGTAAGTGTTGGAGGGTACTGCTCATCCTGGACTTTCATGAGGCCTCCTCTGGACGTGCTGCCCTCAGGTCCCATCATCCTTACAGGTTTTCCCCAAGGGTAGGCCAGGCACAGGCAGGTGTCACTGCCTGCTTCAGCGAGCTCATGTGTCATCGTACCTGGAGTCTTCTGTTGCCTGCAGGGCCTTGGGCACTACCTTCCAATGGGCTTCTCTGGGTGAGGGGTATGGAGTAAGGGTTCCAATGAGAGCAGGTGATGGCTTGGGCTCAGTAGCTTGTCTCCATCCCTCCACTGCCCTTCTTCCCCTCTTTTCCCCCCAGACCTTTAAGATCCCTGGCTTCCGAGGCCAGATCAGCTTCATCACGTCCATGTCTGAGCATTTCTGTGGGACCTGCAACAGGCTGCGAATCACAGCTGATGGGAATCTCAAGGTGAGTGTCCCCTGTCCCCACAATGTCCTTTCCTCCACAAGGCCCCCTTGCTACCCTTGTTATGAATATCTCCTCCCACCTATGCTCCTGATTGGAGGGGATACTAGCTGGGCCCAAGGGGTAGTTGGTGAAATAGTGTCAGACTTGGGGGGACTGTGGGAGTAGCAGGTAAGGGTAAACTCATGGCCCCTCTGGAGGTCTCACCCTGACTCCTTCCTTCCTTGGGTCCCTCAAGTAGCTTCCAATTGATTGTAGCTACCAGAGGGGAGGGGTAAGGGGTGACCCATCTGGAGGGTACTTTGCCCAGTTGGCCCCTCCCACCAGGCCAGAGGCTCAGCTCTGAAACCAGCATCCATTCTTACTTACCTCAGAGCTAATAAGTATGGTGATGGTGGGTTGGGTTTAAATGCATCAAGTTGGACATCCAAATAGAACCATCCGGCAGGTTATTGAAAAGGTAGGGGATTTTTTTCTGGGCTGCAGATGTAGAATTGACTTGGACTATAGGTAGTATCTATATCAATGAGGGTCCCAACAGGAAAAGGAAGTTGGGATTCCAAAGAGAATATAATGAAGAGACTATAGTGCAAGGTTAAAGTAATCACTAAGGGATGTTGAGACACTAGGGACAAGCAATAGCAAAAAGCTGTTACTTCTTTGCTGGAAGGGGCAAGGGGAGGAAGTTGTGTCAGTGGAGCCCAGTGAGAGCTGGAGCCTTGGAGGAGAGGCCACCTGGCTGGAGCTATAGTTCTGGAGCAGAGATGCCAGTCAGGGAAGAAGCAAGGAAGAAATACCACAACCTTCCTTTCTTCTCACCCTCTGATCTCCCATTGGCCAAACCTAGGCAGAAGCCAGCTGGAAGGGAGCCCACAAGGTATAGGCCACAGAGGGTAGCCTCCTGGTTGCAAAGAAGATCAGAGAATGGAATCTGGGGTCTGGCGGGGGGAGTGAGGGGTAGAGAATAGCCATATAGTGCACTAGTTATACCTTCTGTCTTAGATTTCATTAGTATCTTGTCTTCCCTGGTGGGTTCTGCCCTCAAGGGCCTCTCAAACATTCTTCTGTCTCTGTATCCACAATGCCTTATACAGAACTGGCACATAATATATGCTTTGTAAGATTTTGTGGAAGGATGATAAACCAAACCAAAACCCACTGCTGTTGAGTCGATTCTGACTCATAGTGACCCTATAGGACAGAGGAGAACTGCCCAACAGGGTTTCTAAGGGTGTAAATTCTTACTGAAGCAGACTGCCACATATTTCTCCTGTGGAGTGGCTGGTGGGTTTGACTGCCGACCCTTTGGTTAGCAGCTGAGCACTTTAACAACTGCACCACCAGGGCTCCTGGAAGGATGGTAGGTATCTTGATTTCTGGGACTGGCTCATCCATCCCTGAGGTCCTGTAACATCCAATCAAACCTCTTAACAGAAAGAGCATTTGGTTAAGTTTGAATGACCTAAAGATGCCATCTTCACCAGCCCTCTATGGTTAAACTACCAATCAGGGTACCCCAAACTCAAATAACTGCCAGGGCAGGCAGGTAATGCACATGAGTGAGGGACCAGGAGGGGACAGGTGAAATGGAATGTGCCTGCCACATCTGAAGGGGATGGCCGGGACTCAGTTTCAACTGACTATTGCCACTCTCATGGCAATAAAGGGGCCATCCCATCAAATGTCTCTGGAAAAGGTGCAAATCTGAATTTTTATGTGCTATCTCTGTTGACAATTGTTTATTTTTTTAAAGTACACCCGACAAGCTGAATGAAACATGACCACAAGTCAGATACAGGCCTTGTGATGTTTGGCTTTGCTTCCTGCCCTTCCAGCCTCTCTGACTCCTCCATCCGCACCTTCTGTCCCCCAATTGCCAGGGAGCCTTGGCTTGAGTATGAACCTACCAGGGGAGACCTGGGTATTCGCACTTAGCCCATGGGGGGCTTTATGGGTGGGTGCTCAGAGGCTTGGTGGCCAAGGTTCAGGGATGAAGGAGACATGATTGTCCTCACCCCCATGGTGTCCCCTACAGGTCTGCCTTTTTGGGAACTCAGAGGTATCTCTACGGGATCACCTGCGAATGGGGGCCTCCGAAGAAGAGCTGCTAAGAATCATTGGGGCTGCCGTGGGCAGGAAGAAGCGGCAGCATGCAGGTACGGGGCGGGAGTGGGGAAGGCTGGGCTGAATGGGAAGTGGGCCACTGTTAGCAGGAGGGAGGGGGCCATAGTTATAGGGTGAGAGAACAAAGGAAAGCCAAGGAGGAAGCTGGTGGGAGCTCAGTATTGTCCTCTTGGGCCTCTGGACTTGGGGTATGATGATGGTTCGCCTTTATTGGGGAAGTTGGCATAGCAGAGGCTGCACAGGAGAGGGGATCTGGAATTCTCTTGGGCTGTTTTAGTGGGTCAGGGAAAGAGAGGTGCTGTTGCCTCTCTCTCATCCCAGACCTTGCCTTCTACTTAGGGAGAGCTAGGTCTTAGGTGTCCACAGACTGTTTTCTGGACTCTGTCATGGATGACTTTGCAGTATACATGTGGGGGCTATTTTTGCACGTATACAGGTGGTTGTCATACCACTTAGGTCCATCCATTCACTTCAGTGAACAATCCTCCCACCCTCTTTCTCTCCCTCCCCATCTTTCCCTTACCCCAGGCATGTTCAGTATTTCCCAGATGAAGAACCGGCCCATGATCCTCATCGGTGGGTGACCCATCAGTACGTAACCACTCACCCTTGTCATTGGGAGTCCTGTGGGATGGGGCCCCTGCCATGAGGCACCCCAGCTCCTGCATTTCATTCTGATGTTCTCCTCCTTGTTTTCTTCTGTTTCTCCTTTATCTTCTCTTACTCCTTTAAGCCTTTGCTGTTTCTTCTCCTCCCTGTCCATGGCTCCTTTTCACTATACGTCACAGAAATGATCATTCTGTCTCACCAAGAATAGGGGACGGGGCTCCAGATTTCAAGATCACTGAGGTTAATTGGGGGCCCTGGTGGTGCAGTGGTTAAGAGCTCAGCTGCTAACCAAAAGGTTGGCAGTTCGACTCCACCAGCCACTCCTTGGAATCCCTATGGGGCTGTTCTACCCTGTCCTGTAGGGTCACTATGAGTCAGAATCAAGTTGACGGCAACAGATTTTTTTTTGGTAAGGTTAATTGTGCCCTGACAATTGAACTCCTGGTTAAAATAGAGACCTTTTCCTCAGCTTTAGAATCCCCAAGCCTGGGTACAGTTACAGCTGTTGCTTCCTCTTTATAGTAAGGCCTAGTTACTGAGGGGGTATCTGGATCATTAGCAACCATTGATTGATGTATTATTTACTTCTATGCTAGGCAGAGCTTGAGCCAGCAAATTAATAATGTTACTCGCCTTTTCAACAAGGAGATGGCCAGGATCTTAACTCCCCAATTCTAAACACTCGGGAGCTAATACAGACATATCTCATGTGCATAGGATGCTTCAAGAAAAAAAACATCTTTTTTAATAAAGCCATATGTGGCCTCCTACCCTGGGTGTGGTGGTTAGAGTTGTGTGTCAGCCTGGCTGGGCCATGATTCTCATTGGTTTGGAAGTTACATAATGATGTAATTTGGCAGTTATGTAATGATGTAACCTCCATGATGTGATCTGATGCGATCAGTGAATCAGTTGTAAGGGGAGTTTCCTTGAGGGTGTGGCCTGCATCCAATATGTAGTTGGATGTTCTGGCAAAGCTCGCTTGCTCTGGATCCTGCATCTGGCTCATCATCATCTGACCTCCAGTTCTTGAGACTTGAGCCAGCAGCCTGCTGTATTGCCTTCCGATCTTAGGTTCCTCAGCCTCCACAGCCTGTGAGTCAGTGGCTTGCTGTCTGACCTGCCAATCCTGGGTTTGTCAGCCCCCACAGCTATGTGAATCAGGAGAAGCCTCCAGCCTGATGTCTGACCCACGGATTTGGGATGTGCATGAACCATTTCCTTCAGATAAATCAATCTCTCTTTATATATACACCCACTTCACTGGTTTTGCATCTCTAGAGAATGAGGCCTAAGATATTTGGTACCAGGAGTGGTTCTAGAGAAACAAAATTGTAAGGATGAGTTTTCTGAATTGGTTCTCACGTCTGGTTTTCTTAAAGATGTTGATGACTCTGCTTCTAGTAGTAAAGAGGACACTGCTAATCCATGGCATGAGGTGGCAATAGAAATACACAAAATCACCACCAGTAGATCAGGTATTGGTGAGAGATGAGGCTCTTGGTGATCACATGCTTGATACCTTTCTACACTTTTGTCGTAATGAGAGGTATAAGGAAGCTGGTTGGTTGGTCCTACTTTTGCTAGACAAAGTGGTGAAAGAAAGAGATGAGCTCAGGGCTTCAGAGTCAAAGCTCCAGCACCACATAAACAACCTAAAAGTTTCCACTTGTGCCTTGAAAGAAAGCCTTATTTCTTGTAGTAACGGAGCTGATGATGCTGAAAACAAACCTGGAGTCTTACCATAAGAGTGGCTGAATTACAGTGCCACCTGAATTCCCAACCTCCAGTGGTGTCTAAAGTTAAAGTGAGGGCATTGATTGGGAAGAAATGGGATCCTGAAACTTGGGATGTGGACATATGGACAGATAATCAGGAAGCTAGGGACACTGTGCCCCTAAATTCCATTGAATCATTTCTGCCAACAGAACCAGCCTTCTCACTCCCATCTGAGGTGATTACTCCCTGTTTGTCTGCTAAGCCACCCTCCCCAATAAAACGGTTAGCCCCTCCACTCCCATCTGATGAGATTAACCCAGCTGGGTCTAAACAGCCTTTGTCTGAGTCATTGCCTGGGGCATCGCCTGAGGCAGATGCCTTATAAGACAATGCTGAATGTTCTCAAAACACATCCCCACCACCCATTTTGGCTTCTAGACCTATAACTAGACAGTCCCAGCAAGCCTCAAAAGGTGAAGTACAAAATGTGACCCAGGAGGAGGTACGCTACAGTCCAAAAGAACTGCTTGACTTTTCTAATGTGTACAAACAGAAACCTGGGGAATATGTGCGGGAATGGATATTAAGGGTGTGGGATAATGGTACAAGGAAACTTAAAGATGGATCAGTCTGAGTTTACTGATATGCATCCACTAAGCACAGATTCTTCATTTAATGTTTCAGCTCGAGAGGTTAGGAAAGGATCTAATAGTTTATTTGGTTGGGTCCCTGAAGCATGGATTACGCGGTGGCCTGTGCTAAAGAAGTACCAGACCTGCCTTGGTATACTGTAGAAGAAAGTATCCAAAGGCTTAGGGAAATTGGCGTGTTAGAGTGGATTTATCAGGTTAGACCCAGAGACCCACACATGGAGTGCCCAGAGGACATACCTTTTACAACATGAATGAGGAACACATTTATGAAGGGAACCCCAACATCCTTGAAGACCGCTGTGATTGCTATTTTATGTAAATCAGATTTGACAGTGGGAACTGCCCTAACCTAATTAAGATACCTAACTACAATGGGGAGCCCTGGTGGCACAGTAGTTAAGTGTTTGGCTGCTAACCAAAAGGTCGGCAGTTTGAATCCACTAGCCGCTCCTTGGAAACCCTATGGGGCAGTTCTTCTCTGTCCTGTAGGGTCACTATGAGTCAGAATCGACTCGATGGCAATGGGTTAACTACAGTGGCGGTGATTGGACCCCATGGTGCTAGGGGCCGGGTGGCAGCACTCAGTTGACAAAGTGGGTGTGATTATTGTAATGAACAAGGGAGTCAAAGTAGTAATCAGAATAGTCTGACTCATATGGACTTACGGTGTTGACTACTTAGTCATGGTGTCCTAGGAGTGAAATAGATGGGAAATCTACTAAATATTTTCTTAATCTGTACAAGTGGAAGCATTCTAGGTCAAGTGAATGGCAGCCTAACTTGAATCACCAGAATAGTCATGGCCCCTCAATCAATTCCCAGACTTGAGCCAGTTTA